GATTCCTCAGCACCACATAAGCAAAAAGAAAAAAGCCGGAAGTGGCGCTGTGGCTCAAGTGGTAGAGCGCTAGCCTTGAGCTGAAGAGCTGAGGGACAGTATTCAGGCCCAGAATTCAGGCCCCACAACGGGACCCAAAAAAAACAACAACAACAACAAAAAAAAACTCTGAGGCAACAAATTTTTGTTGTCTAAACTAGTTATTTGTTAGCCATAGGACACTATAAAAGGATATAAAACTAAGATAGAATTTCCCTTAGAAACAAATTTTAACAAATTCTATCCACTAAACTATACCACTATATTAGAAGGATATTAGAAAGATTTTCTTATAATCAGTCTCCAATATATTATATATGTCTACTTTTATGACCTAAATCATTACAGAATTCAAAACAGGTCAACTACTTAAGTTATGCCAATTTTCCAGATGAAATTTCATTTTCACTTGACTATTGATAAAATGACCAAACAACTTTTAGTCCTCTGGAACATACTACTAACCTCAAGAACCATGAATATTTTATTGTCTGTCTCCAACACATGGTAGAGTTGACATATATGCTGATGTCTAAGATTCTTTAAGGCATCAATCTCTGTTTTGATCCTCGGCAAATCACTCTGTGACATAAAAGCATTTCAAGTGAGCAATAAATTTATTGGGAATGTTCTAATCAATAACTTTAAGAGTAAACAGTGGGCTAAGAATGTGGCTCAGTGGTTGAGTGCTTACCTAGCATGCATGAAGCCCCGGGTTCAATTCCTAAGTACCACATAAACAGAAAAAGCCAGAAGTGGTGCTGGCTCAAGTGGTAGAGTGCGAGTGGTTAAGTAAAAGAAGCCCAGGGACTGTGCCCAGACCCTGAGTTCAAGCCCCAGGACTGGCAAAAAAAAAAAAAAGAGTAAATAGCAAAAAGTATCAACAACCTTAAATAATTTAAAACATACAAAAATACATCAAAATTCACTTCTCTTTTGTGTGTGTATGTATGTGCCAGCTAGTTTTGGACTGGAACTCAGGGCCTGAGTGCTGTACCTTAGCTTTTTCCCTCAAAGATGGAGCTTTCTACCACTTGAGCCACACCTCCACTTCTGTGTTTTTGGTGGTTAATTAGAATAAGAATCTCTTGGACTTTTCTGCCCAGGCTGGCTTTGAACCATGATCCTCAGATCTCAGCCTTCTGAGTAGCTAGGATTATGGGTATGCACCACGGGCAACTGGTTTTTAATTCATAATCTTTTACTAGAACAATAACTGTTATTTAGCAATAATAAAAAAATAAAGAGGTATTTGTTAAATTAAAAATGATTTATAAGTTTCACAAATTAGGTAACTGAATTTTAGCATATATTTTGAAAAGATCAAAATAAAAAGTGAAGGGCATTTAAATAAAAGAAATCCTTATGTTTCCTTTGATTTAAGTGTGTCAATCAGCACTTACATAATTAAAAATGAAAACAAGGTAATAATTAGTGTTAAACACTACCAGTAAGATATTTTATAATGTGTTTTGTTTTGTCGATACTGGAGGTTGAACTCATGCTTGATCAACTGGCAGTCTAGCATTTGAGCCAAACCTCTAGCAAACATTTTGTTGATTATTTTGGGGGATGGGATCTCGAGGACTTTTCTGCTGGGGCTGGATTCAAACCTTGATCCTCTGCCTCTCAGGCTCAAGAACTGCTAGGATTAGCCTGGTGCTGGTGGCTCACGCCTGTAATCCTAGCTACTCAGGAGGCTGAGATCTGAGGATCACGGTTCAAAGCCAGCCCAGCCAGGAAAGACTGTGAGACTCCTATCTCCAATAAACCACCAGAAAACCGGAAGTGGTGCTGTAGCTCAAGTGGTAGAGCACTCGCCTTGAGCTGAAGGACAGTGCCCAGGCCCAGAGTTCAAGCCCCATGACCGACAAAAAAAAAAAAAAAGAACTGCTAGGATTTTAGGTGTGAGCTACCAGCTTTACAATGTTTTTAATGTTTGATAATTAAAAACATCTGTAAAATGTTTATGTTGGTTTAACAATATGTACTACTAAAACTAACTCAATCCAGAAGGAAAATTAGTTTCCTTTTTAACATTTAAGATACTTAGTCAAAGAAAATAATTTTTAAAGTTTATCTTCAAAAAAAAACCAAAGCAAACAAAACAAAAAACAGCCACAGATACATACTCATACTAAGATACTGCTAGTAAACATTCAGCAGAAGACCAGAAAAAGTCTAGAAACAAACACATGAAGGGTAACAGGGAATTAATATTACAGAAATATATCATATGTGCATGCATGTCTGTAACTAGAATAATAAAATTCACTAAACACTATTAAAAAGGAAGCAAGAGGAAGGAGAAAGGCTGGGCGCAGGTGGCTCACACCTGTAATCCTAGCTACTCAGGAGGCTGAGATCTGAGGATCCGGTTCAAAGCCAGCCCCAGCAGGAAAGTCCATGAGACTCTTATCTCCAATAAGCCGCCAAAAAACCGGAAGTTTCTGCCAAAAAACCGGAAGTGGCGCTGTGGCTCTCGAGCGCTGTGGTAGAGCGCTGGCCTTGAGCTGAAGAGCACCGGGACAGTGCCCAAGCCCAGAGTTCAAGCCCCACAACCGACAAAAAATAAAGAAAAAAAAAGAGGAGAGAGAAGGATGCAAGAAAGAGTAATACAGACTGGGTACTGATGGCTCATGCCTGTAATCATACTCAAGTGGCTGAAATCTTTAGATCATGGTTCAAAGCTAGCCCAGGCAGGAAAGTCCATGAGACTCTTAACTCCAATTAACCATCAACTGAAGCTGAGGCTAAAGTGGTAGAGCATCCATCTGAGCAACAAGCTAATGGACAGCCCTGAATTCAAGCCCCAGTACCAGCACAAATAAAAATAATAATAATAATATAGATGGGGTAAATGTGATCAAAGTACATGCATGTTGTAAATATCACACCAAAGGCTTTTGCATAATCTATGCTAATATTTTTCTTTTTAAAGAAAGGAAAATAAATAAACCACAGGAAGGATAGTAGAGTTAGGAAAAGATGACTCAGAGTAACTTCAAACACTAGAAAAGTAAACCAGATTTTACCACAGTGTAATAATAGTTTATGTACATTATAGTCAAAAGCACAAATTGAATAGTCTTTTAGGAAATGAGTAGCTCAATCCTGGAAGGATTTTCATAGAGAAAAAGAAGTTGATCAGGAAAAGGATTTCTTAGGTATTAAACTCTGGGCCTGGGCACTGTCCCTGAGCTCTTCAGCTTAAGGCAAGCAAGCACTCTACCACTTTGAGCCACAGCACTCAAGTTTTCTGGTGGTTAATTGGAGATTAAAAAAAAGTCTCATGGACTTTTCTGTCCAGGCTAGCTTTGAACCACAGTCCTCAGATCTCAGCCTTCTGAGTAGCTAAGATTACAGGCATGACCCACTGGCACCCAGCTCAATATTTACTTTTTTATTTTTTTGTCGGTCATGCAGTCTGAACTCTGGGCCTGGGCACTGTCCTTCAGCTCTTCAGCTCAAGGCTAGTGCCCTACCACTTGAGCCACAGCGCCACTCTGGGCTTTTTCTGTTTTTATGTTTATAGGCCTCATGCATGCGAGACAAGCACTCTATCACTGAGCCACCTTCCCAGCCCCTCATTAGGCAACTTTTAAAGCCACTCTGAATAAAATGCTGAGACATAAGAGTTCTCTACCTATCCATAATACAAAATAGATTTAGCATTATGAAAAGGTAAAGACAAGATATGTTAAAATTCCCAAAAACACTTAACCTATATGTCTACAAGACAATCACTGAAAAATGGATGTTAACCCAGTGTCAGTATGTGTCATTTCCTGAATTGAAATATGAAGGACAAAAGAACCATTTCCCTAGAACACTTTAGAAACAGAGATACTCTTTCCCAGCCCCAATATTTATATTTTTTAAGCTACAAAAATATTGCTCTTAGAAAAGAACAGTAACTAAAACATTGGAGGGTTAATCACAAAATTAACCATAAGTATATTAAACAATTTGATTGGTTGTGAATATGATCAAGGTTCATAATGTACATACATGAAAATGTCACAGTGAAACAATATCAAATATTGAAAAAAGTCATGGGGCTGGGAAGGTGGCTCAGTGGTAGAGCGCATGCCTTGCATGCATGAGGCCCTGGGTTCGATTCCTCAGCACCACATAAGCAAAAAGAAAAAGCCGGAAGTGGCACTGTGGCTCAAGTGGTAAAGCACTAGCCTTGAGCTGAAGAGCTGAAGGACAGCGCCCAGGCCCAGAGTTCAGGCCCCACGACCAGACCCCCCCCCCAAAAAAAAGAAAAGAAAAGAAAAAAGTCAGGCATAGCCGGGTGCTGGTGGCTCACACCTGTCAGGCATGACAGTACACACCTATAATCCCAGCAGTAAGGAAAATAAAGCAAGAGGATCAATAGTTTCAGGCCAATCTGGGCTACACAGAGAAACTCTGTCTTAAAAAAAAAAAAAAAAAAGGAAAAACTCAGACAGGCATTGATGTCTCATGCCCTATCATTTTAGCTACGCAGGACGCTGAAACCTGAAGATCATGGTTTGAAGACAGCCCAGTCAGACAAATCTAAGAGACTCTGATCTCCAACTAACTAGCAGAAAGCTAGAAGTTGAAGCGTGACTCAAGTGGTGGCATACTAGCCTTGAATAAAAAAAGCTAAATATGAGGCTTTGAGTTCAAGCCCCAGCACTGGGCACAAAAAAAAAAAAAAACACCTAATAAAATTTCAAACTTACCCCTAGTGCATTTTTATCCATGATTTTTATAGCCACCATTTCTCCAGTGAGGATGTGGCAGGCCAGTTTGACCTTTGCAAAGCCACCTAAGTAAAGAAAAATGTATGAAGAAGAGGTAAGTAATGACTCAAGCACATATACCTTCTCATATTTTCTAAAAGGGCTCTATGGAACCACATTTTCCTAGAAGTCTGCATACTTTTCTTCTGTTACTCCCAAAGTGTTAACCATGACTCTAGCCTCTTTTAATTCAATGTCTAGGTGATGATTATTTTTCCTATCACAACAGAATTCCTCTAATTTTGTAATTAAGTAGAAAAGCCATATTTACTCTTTAGAAGTATGATCTATGATTATTAACCTTGCAAATAAACTTGCTTTATAAATAACAATGACAGGCCATAGCATTTAAATTGCTTAGACAAAAGACAAATTCTTAAACTGTAAAGATAAAGAATTACATTTCAAAATTGGGTCAAAACTGAATAATATATACTGATTGATTTTATATATATATGTATATGTATATATATATACATATATATGTGTGCATATATATACGTATATATATATGTGTGTGTATATATATATATATATACACACACACATATATATGTATAAATTTAACATTACCAATTTAACATTACCAAAAAAGAAGCTCCTGGTTGTCACTCCTGAAAATTTACTTATTTCTGTAAGGAGCCACTCTATTTCCCTGGATGCCCAGCCCCAAACCCTGGAACCAACCTTAACTTTGTCTTTTATCTAGTACCCCATATTCAATCCATCAACCAGTCCATGGGCTTACCCATGGGTAAAACAAACCAATGGTTAGTTACAATGGGGGAAAGGAAGCAGGTACTGACTAGAAATAGCTTGTCTTATCTGAGCATTTCTATATGGTCTATGTTGAGATCTGTCTATTTTGCATGCTTTTACTGTATGTTATGTATACTTCCATAAATAACTACCACAGCACCTTCACAACCATTTCTTATCTAAGCCACCTAAATTACTGTAATAGCTTGCTGACATGTCTCCCCTTCCTCTACACTTACCCTCTTCCACCCAATCTTTTCACCACTAAGCAGCCAGAGTAACCCTATGAAAGAAAACAAAAGTCAGATACTCTGGCTCAGAAATTACCAATGAAGCCAGGTGACGGTGGCTCACACCTAATCGTAGCTACTCAGAAGGCTGACATCTGAGTTCACAGTTCAAAGCCAGACTGGGCAGGAAAGTCCATGAGATTCTTATCTCCAATAAACTACTGAGAAAAAGCCAGAAGTAGTACTATGGCTCAAGTGGTAGAACACTAGCCTTGAACACAAAGAGGCTCAGGGATAACATGCAGGTCCTGATTTCAAGCCCCAGGACTGGAAAAAATAAAAAAAGAATTTACAAATGAGATTAATTTAGGATAAAAGCCAAAGACCTTGTAATAACCTACAAACTTCTACTATTTTCCTCTATTTCTGTTCTACTTTTTCCTACTCAAGGAGAAAAAATTTTGAACAGCATATGTTAATCAAAGAGCTCATGAGAGCCCAAATAGACTATACTCCCAAAGAGTTGATTGGTCCTCTATCTCCAAGAAAAAAAATAGCAATTACCTGTTCCAATAGTTTCATATAATTCATAGTATTTGAGAAGTTCATCATAATCTTTCATAGTCCACTTGGAAGTTATGCAAAATGATAGAAAGAACCTGTAAAGCAGAAATAGTATATCATCAACAAGGAATATTATCCAGATTATCTCCTCCACTTGTAACAAATATAAATGTTAGTCATATAAATGATAAAAATGATACAGATTAGTCATAGTAAAAGAGTTCTTATCTCACATATCACACATAAAAATTAATCCCAGATAAAGTTTTAAACATAAAAAAATAAACTTTCAAAACTTTTTTTTTTTGGTTAGTCGTGGGGCTTAAACTCTGGGCTTGGGCGCTGTCCTTGTGCTCTTCAGCTTAAGGCAAGCACGCTACCACTTGAGCCACAGCGCCACTTCCAGTTTTTTGGTGGTTTATTGGAGATAAGAGTCTCACAGACTTTTCTGCCCAGGCTGGCTTTGAACCACGATCCTCAGATCGCAGTCTCAGAAGTAGCTAGGACTATAGCAGTGAGCCACCGGCACCCAGCTCTCAAAACTTTTGAAAGAATATGAGAAAGAATAGAGTGGAACTTTTAAATACAATGCAAATCATTAAAAACAAATAGGCACAGTGGCTAGAGAAACTGAGGCAGAAGGACCAAGTAAGCCCAGGAGTTGCCTAGGCAACATAGGAAGATTTTAATCATTAAAAAAAATTTATACATTAAAATTAAGAAATTCTTTTTTTGGGAGGGGGCGGTCTGGTCGTGGGGCCTGAACTCTGTGCCTGGGTTCTGTCCCTCAGTTCTTCAGCTCAAGGCTAGCACTCTACTACTTGAGCCACAGTGCCACTTCTGGCTTTTTTCTTTTTGCTCATGTGGTGCTGAGGAATTGAACCCAGGGCCTCATGCATGCAAGGCAAGCTCTCTACCACTGAGCCACCTTCCCAGCCCCAAGATAAGCCAAACCTTTACTTGGCACTACCAGTATAATGGAGAAATGTAGTTCCATACTCAAAAACTGCACATTTAGTGGAGAAGACAAAAGGCAAACAGACAACAAACTAGTTTGTGATAAACATTAGGAAGAAAAACAACTGTGGTTAGCTAACTCACTGAAAATGTGAAGGTATAACTCAAAGGGCAAGAAGTGGCATAAGGAAAATCAGATTTGCCAGAGCCCAGGTGCCTATGGCTCCCTCCTGTACTCTTAGTTACTCAGGAGGCTGAGATTTAAGGATTGCAGTTCAAAGCCAATCCCAGCAGGAAAGTCCATGAAACTCCTATCTCCAATTACCACCAGAAAACCAGAAGTAGCACTGTGGCTCAAAGTGGTAGAGTACTAGACTTGACAGAAAAGCTGAAACAGCACCCAGGCCCTGAATTCAAGCCCCACAACCAATCAAAAAAAAAAAATTCCTCTCAAAACTTTGAACAATTTTTCCAACAGAAAATACTGTCAGTTAGAAATGGACTTGACCATGTAAACAATGTATACAAGTCTGTTAAAATGATAATGATCCTTTATTTGAATGCTTTCTCATTAATAGCATCTTCAGCTCCATCTCATTCTTCCTCCCCTGCTTTCTAAGATACCCTAATGCAGCAATGCCCCAGCTGAGCTTGTGGTTTTACCACTGAGCTACATCCCTAGCCACATCTAGTATGCTTTATGACAAATGTATTCTTCGTTATCTTTGGTCTGTAGGCCTCAACAGTTCTTACTCACACAGGAAGAATATTCCAGGGTTGGGAAGGTGGCTCAGTGGTAGAATGCTTGCCTTGCATGCATGAGGCCCTGGGTTCGATTCCTCAGCACCACATAAGCAAAAAGAAAAAAGCCGGAAGTGGTGAGGAATCTCAAGTGATAGAGCACTAGCCTTGAGCTGAAGAGCTGAGGGACAGCGCCCAGGCCCAGAGTTCAGGCCCCACGACTGGACCCCCCCCCCACAAAAAAAAAAAGAAAGAAAGACAAAAGGCATGTTTTTTCTCATGTGGATCTTAGATACAATATATAACTTCCCATGTAAGTATACACATGCTTATGTACACAATTTAGTTGACTGAGGTATAGAATATGTAGTAGTGAAACTCTATAGAGTAAATCTTTCAAACAATTAACAATCTAACAACATGAATACCAGGAAACTAAAATTAAATGGGAGGGTCTAGTGTGAATGAAAAAGAGAACAGCACAAATATAACAAGAATATTCAGGGATTGGAGGCATAGTTCAGTGGATAGAGCACTAGCCAATGATCAAAAGTATCAGGTACTAAGTTTGAGTCCCAGTCTTGGACCAAAAAAAGAAAAAGATAGAGACTATTCAAAGTACCTAGGTGATAAAGGAAGTGGGAAATGTGAAATGAGTCTAGGGAGAAGTAACAGATGGGATGGAGGGGAATAATGGAAGAAGTGACTTACTGAGTAGCACTGACACTTAAATGGACATGTTGAAACTGTAACTCCTTATACAACTTTTGAAGTTCCAAAAATACAAAATGAACAAAAGCTAAAACAAATGTTCTCAAAAGACATGGAGATTAAGTAGACTAATATATAGGGAGTGAATTATCAAGTACATACGCATGTATGGAAATGCCACGATGAAAAAAACTCCTTTGTACGGGTAATATACGCTTAACAAAAAACCAAACAACAGCAACAAAAAAAAAAACCTATGTGATCAATGAGGGGTAGGGCAAAATATTCACTGCCTTCACGTTCTCTCTCTTATTCCAGAGGTGAATAACCAGCATATTACCAAACCTTAATGATGGTCATGAATTTTGAAAACCTAGAGTATAACCTCAGAAGTGTGGTGAGCTCATAAAGGAAAACAGTGTAATAAGGTAGGTCCTGCAATAATGTAGTTAGGTCATCTTCTTAAATCAGGTGGAGAAAAATATGAATAAAATTATCAGAATTTCAAGGTCTACAAAAGATTTTTTAGCTTTGCTGGCACCAGGGTTCCAACTCAGGGTCTCACATTCATTCAGCTTGATAACTGGCACTCTACCACTTAGCCACACCAACTGGTTTTTTTGGAGATGGAATCTTGAAGGCTATTCTACCCACGATGGCTTCAAACCTCAATCTCCCAGATCTCAGCCTCCTGAGTAGCTAGGATTACAAATGTGAGCTAAGCATAATTTCAAATAACAATACATAATGGCTGGGGGCAGAGGAGAGTGTATCAATGGTAAGAGTAGCTCAAGTGGTAGGCCCTGAGTTTAATCTCAGTACAGCTATACATACATATATACACACACACACACACAGAAACAGAAAAATCAATGACTCCTAATGTGGCTTTATAAGAGTTAAATGGCATCTTGCCCTGCCCTTTTGCACAGGTTTCTAGGGGCACCAACAAAGAGGCATTCATTCACTCCTAAAGGCATAAAGGACTTGATTTGCTTATCTAGTTGGTCTATAATAGCTGAATGCAAGGAAAAATCCACTGATACCCATGAAGGTGCCATAGGGCTTTTCGGATTTCTCCCACACCTCAGAGGAAAATAGAAACATATTTTTTTTTAGAAAAGTTAGTCATAGAGGGCTCTAACCATTTCGGGTATCTTAATCCCCCTGCCTTCTTACCGAACTATAGGAAAACCCAAAGATAAAATTACTGCTCATCCTGGGTGCAAGGGGCCTGGCTCCTGTCTTGGGATAACTTCTCAGAGGAGTTTTCCTGTGCCATGCAGGCGTCTAGGTAGGTGCAACCTTGCTGCTCCTTTTACTGGTCTAGCCTTCTGTGCACCCGTTTAATACGAGCCTCTTACGCTACTTACTTTGAAGTGAAGGAAGAGGCAGGATCTGGCCTGAAGAAGGACTGAGAACTTTTCTCTTTTTTTCTAAGGTAAATACCCTCAGGACCTTTTCTCCTCCGGATACAGAGAGGGTCACCAACAGGTACGGGAATCACCCGGATGGCAGCCCTCCAGCGTGGCAAATGCTCTGCCCGTATACCTCATCAGTACCTCTGGGCAGGTACTGTTTATCCCCAGAGAGAAGAAAACCTGGGTGTGAAAGACTAGCTAAACCCACCCAGGGCACAGGGCTGGCGAGGCGGGGCTCGGGGACCTCCATCTCAGCGCAGCCCGGAGCCCCGGGACGAGGCGGCTGCTGCTCGCGCCCCGCCCGGCCCAGACCCCGGCCCTCACTGACGGCGGAGGAGAGCAGGCAGAAAAACTGACCTGAGGGGCGAGGGCAGAGGCGATGTCAGGGGAAGGGCAGGAGGGCCGGACAGAAAGACAGAAGAATCCGCCAACAGTCCCACGCTAAGAGGAAGTGCGAAAAGAGGCTGGGGAGTCTTCCCGATCGCCGGGCTTCGGCCGCTTCCGCCCGCCAAAGGAATCAAACCTCCCAAACAGGAAGGGGCGGGGCATACACAGGCGAATCCCGGAGAGGGGCGGGGCTGTGGGCGGGGCTCTCCGTGGTGGGTCGCGCGCACAGTAGGTCGATCTTTGGCAATCGGTGGGAAGGCTGCGTGGCCCTCTTGGGTTGCCTTGAGGTCATTAAATGTCACTCTCTTGCTAGTGTCATAGACCTTCTCCTGGGTACAGTAAAGATTTTCCAAAATGGATGGACTTACAAAGTTTACAGATATTCTGCTTTCTTAGGTTTCCTTTCCTAAAAGTGATCTTTCTGAGAAATCTCTAGTAGGCAAAGTTCTTAATTTTTCTCCTCCCTTGTCCAATGGGGGCTTTCCCACCCTACAGTACTGGAGAGTTTACCGAAAGTTGCTTGCAGAATCTTTCAGAAATCGGAATCTTACTAAAAATCTGTTGCCACAAAGAATAATACCCCTGAAGGGCTGAAGGAATTGTCCATTAAATAACTCAGGGCCCTCTAACACTTGACCCTGCATCACAAGAGAAGTTTCCTGATGTACTTACTATTCTGTCATTTATGTAATATTGAACAACTTCTGTTTTCGTAATGATAGCTCAAACTAGAAGAAAATAAGTTTTTTGTTTTGCTTTATTTTTTTGGTCGGTCGTGGGGCCTGAACTCTGGTCCGGAACACTGCCTCTCAGCATCAGCTCAAGGCTAGCGCTCTACCACTTGAGCCACAGTGCCACCTCCGGCTTTTTCTGCTTATGTGGTACTGAGGAATTGAACCCAGGGCCTCATGCATGCAAGGCATGCACTCTGCCACTGTGCCACCTTCCCAGCCCAGAAGAAAACAATTTTAATTACAGCAAAGAAAAAATTTAATTTACATATATTTTTATTGCAGTGCTTATGATAAAGTGCTGGATAAAATATTTTCAAGCAAAACAATTACATTAAAGTAACATTCCAGCCAGCCAGGCATTGGTAGTTCACATCTGTAATCCTAGCTACTCTGGAGGCTGAGCTAAAAGGATGGTGTTTCAAAGCCAGCTGGGGCAGGAAATGCCATGAGAGTTATCTCCAATTAACCTCCAGAAAACCGGAAGTGGAGCTGTGGCTCTAAATGGTAAGAGCGTTAGCCTTGAGCAAAAGAACTGAGAGACAGCACCCAGGCCCTAAGGTTAAGCCCCACAACTGACCAAAAAAAAAAAAAGATAACATTCCACAGCTGGCTGTGGCTGTGGTGGTGTGTGTTTGGCCCCTTAGTCAAGGTGAGAAAAAACATAAATAGGATCAAGGTACCTTCTGGCTGGCGAAACAGACTCTATCACAAAAAATAACTGTAATTAAAACCAAAAGGGCTGGAGATGTGGCTCAAGCAGTACAGTGCCTGCCTATTAAATGCAGAACCTTGAGTTCAAACCCTAGTACTGCCAACGAGATGAGAGAAAGAGAGAGAAAGGAAGGAAGGAAGGCAGACAGAAAAAAGAAAGAAAGAAAGAAAGAAAGAAAGAAAGAAAGAAAGAAAGAAAGAAAGAAAGAAAGGAAGGAAGGAAGGAAGGAAGAAAAAGAATTCTGTGGAATGTATATACAAGAGAAAAAGGAAGGAAAATAAGCGAATACTTAAAGAGGGCCTAGATGGGCTGGGACTGTATATTCTCAGTGTTAGAGGGTTTACATAGGTATACCCAAGTTTAATCACTAGCACCATCAAAATTAATTTTTTTGTTTTTTGTCAGTTGTGGGGCCTGAACTCTGGGCCTGGGTGCTGTTCCTCAGCTCTTCAGCTCCAGGCCAGCACCCTATCACTTGAGCCATAGCACCACTTCCAGCTTTTACTGCTTATGTGGTGCTGAGGAGTCGAACCTAGGGCCGCATGCACAGAAGTTAAGCACTCTACCACTGTACCACCTTCCCAGCCCAAAATTAATTAATTTTAAAAGGTTGTTTTGGGGAAATTTTTGTAGTGTTACAAATGGAACCAAGGTCCTTCCACATACTAAGCATATGCCCTATTAATTAACTACTTCACAGCCCTTGAATTTTCCACAAGATTTCACTATGTAGATTATGCTGGTCTTGAACTAACTCACTGTATAGTACATTCCTCCTGTTCTATCTCCAAAGTGGTGGGATTACAGGAGTATTAGGATTACAGGCATGCTGCCTGATTTATATAATTTTGAAGTAGATGCTGGTAGTATCAAATCACCCTGATAGTTCCAATGAGTAATATTATTGTTTCATTTTAAAATGTTTACAATAATCCTACTTTTAAAAAAATCTAATTCAAGCTGGGAATGAATTATAAATTCATTGTTTGAGAACTTGCTTGTAGTCCCACCACTTGGGAGACTGAGGCAGGAGGATTATAAATTCAAGGCCAGCCTGGGCTATGTAGCAAGTTCCAGGTCAGCTCTGTGTTTTGTTTTGTTTTGTTTTGTTTTTCTTGGTTGTGGGGCCTGAACACTGGGCCTGGGCACTGTTCCTCAGCTCTTCAGCTCAAGGCTAGCACTCTACCACTTGAGCCATAGTGCCACTTTGGTTTTTTTCTGCCTATGTGGTGCTGAGGAATTGAACCCAGGGCCTCATGCATGCAAGGCTCAAGGCAAGCACTTTTCCACTGAGCCACCTTCCCACCCCCAAAGTTTTGTTTGTAAAAAGAAAATATATACCCAGAAATTCTATCCTTTGCAACAATTCCAAATTATGATTTAAAAAGTTTAGATGGGGGCTGGGAAGGTGGCTCAGTGGTAGAGCACTTGCCTTGCATGCATGAGGCCCTGGGTTCTATTCCTCAGCACCACATAAGCAAAAAGAAAAAAGCCGGAAGTGGTGCTGTGGCTCAAGTGGTAGAACACTATGAGCTGAAGAGCTGAGGGACAGCTCACAGGCCCAGAGTTCACCCCCACTACAGGACCCCAAAAAAAAAAAAGTTTAGATGTCAAGGCCGGAAGGTGGTTCCGTGTAGAGTGCTTGCCTCACATGCATGAGGCCCTGGGCTTGATTCCTCAGCATCACATAAATAGAAAAAGCTAGAAGTAGTGCTGTGGCTCAAGTGGTAGAGTGCTAGCCTTGAGCTGAAGAGCTGAGTAACAGTGCCCAGGCCCAGAGTTCAGGCCCCACAACCGACACACACAAATAAAGTTTAGATGTTACTGGGCACTGGTGGCTCACACCTGTAATCCTAGCTACTCCGGAGGCTGAGATCTGAGGATCAAAGTTCAAAGCCAACCTGAGCAGGAAAGTCCATAAGACTTTTATTTCCAATTGACCACCAGAAAGCCAGAAGTGAAGCTGTGGCTCAAAGTGGTAGAGTACTAGCCTTGAGCAAAAGAGCTCAGAGACAGCACCATGCCCAGAGTTGAAGCCCCAGGTCAGACACACACAAAAAAAAATTGAATGTCTACTTAAAATTTGCAGAATGAGTTTGAGTGTACATATTCAAAACACCTTGAATATTGCTGAGTTAAAGGCAGTAACTATATAGCAAGAGAAAACAACCAATTCATCTAGGAAGGTACATGAAGCAAGAAGTCTGAAGTAAACCTACTTTATCATATGAATAGTAAGATAGTTAGATTATGTTCCCTGATTCAAGAGTCACTAACTGGGTGGGTCAAGCCATATGGGATGTAACAATAACACCATTAGCAGCAATAATAAAACCCACTACAGTTTTTTGTTGTTGTTGTTTTTTTGGGTCCAGTCATGGGGCTTGAACTCTGGGCCTGGGCGCTGTCCCTCAGCTCTTCAGCTCAAGGCTAGCACTCTACCACTTGAGCCACAGCACCACTTCCGGCTTTTTTCTTTTTGCTTATGTGGTGCTGAGGAATCAAACCCAGGGCCTTATGCATGCAAGGCAAGCGCTCTACCACTGAGCCACCTTCCCAGCCCCCCACTACAGTTTTTTGAATGATTAATGTGCACTTACAAGCACCACCTCTATACCCAAAGCCTTCCTCTCTCACACAGCATAATATATGCTATTCATTCTACCATCAGTCACCAGTGTCTACCCTATTCCAGGCCATCTTAGAAGCAATGCCAAAGAAAGAAAGAAAAGACGTACCTTCTGCCCAAGGGAACTCAAAGACAGGAGAAGCCAAACTCATAGACAACCAACCCTAATAAAGGCCTAAGTCAGAATCCTATATAGAAGTGCATGCAACCATGCAGTTTAGAGCTCAAATAAGGGAGCAATTCATTCTGACCAGGGGAATGCACACATGCACACACATACTCAGAGACAAGAAAGCACAATTTTCTGTGAACAAAGGAGCACAGGCTATGGAGTTGGGGTTGTGACAAGGGAGGAAGAGCTGGATACAGGGGCTCAATGGGAAGGATTTTGTGTGTCAAGCCAGAGTTGGCGCCCACCGATCAGGACAGGGAGATGAGTGTCTCTGCATTTCAGAATAAAGTCAGAGCAGCCACTCCATAAACAGACGACAATCCTTGGCCTACCAAGGCAGGGGGAGGGCTGTACATGGCTGGTGGTAGAATACAGGCCATCAATTTTCAAACTATGTGTAGCTAAGTCTTGAGTGAAACAGGAAATGAAGGCTGCAGTCCAGCCTGGAAGGCTTCTCTTACAGCAACCATCTTTACTAGCTGACCTCAGGCTATAAAACCTGCCCTGATTTTCACATCCAGTCCAACTGCAACTAGAAAGCCATACAAAAGTATGCTTTGGGTCATAGTCTGGCTAGAAAAAGATGGTTTTAAAACAGAGGAAAGAGGGGAGAGAAGGGAAGGGGAGAGGAAGGAGAGGAAGGGAAAGGGAGAGTAGGGGAGGGGAGGGAGGAAAAAAGGAAAAAGAGTGAGAAAGATAAGGGAGATAATAAACCTCCTGATGTGGAGCCCATACTCCTAGCTACCTGGAAGGCAGAAATTGTGATTTGAGGCCAATCCAGGCATAAAAAATTCATCAGATTTCCATTTCTCCACCAGTAGCTAGGTAGTGATGCAAGATGATAACTACAGGGA